CTATTCGCATGCATTCGACTAGAATCCATGATTTATTAGCCAACTTTCATTCGAAGAGAATTTTTCTTTCGCAACCCAAAAAACAAAAAAAAGCTCCAAAAATATAAGATTTCTTTTTAGAAAGGAAATTCCTTGTCTTTTTCTCATCTTTCTCTTGTCTTTAAGTTCCGTTTCGTATTCCGTCCATAGTCTTTACATCACCGCTCTACGCCTTATTTTTTTTCGTTCAAACAAATTGCTTTACATGCACATATGTATGTATATTTTATTATTTTATTGGAATGGATCACCAAAACTAAAGAAATTCCTTTGAGAAAGTGGTTCATCGACTATCAAGAATATATCCGTGAATTGAAATGCTTTAAATTGCTCTCTGTGGAGTGAATCTACCATCATATGTTGATAAAAAAAAAGGAAAGGAAAGGAAAGAAATTGCAGTAAAGAATTCAGCAGCAGCAGCAGTCGAGGAGAGATTTCGTTTTGTACAAAGTAAGAAAGAAAAAAAATACCTTCTTTTAATAGTGATGACCTAAAAAGCAACCTTCGAGATTTTTTCGAATCTTCCAAAGCTGTTTGCTTGTGAAATAACTAACGACTACGAGGCATGCAGGTTGTTCTTTAGAGATGGAAAAAATATATATTGAATGGAATGAAGTTAATAAATGAATAATTGATGGTACTAATACAAGTTTGTATGGTACAAAGGGAATATATCGATAGGGATGTATATATATGCAGCATAATGAGAATCAAGTAATCAGGAAATAACCTGCTTATTTATGCTATCAATACATTAAATATTTATGTTGAAGAAAAGCGATTGTTAATAATTTACAACATCATTCTTACAGCATACCCCCACCTTCCTTTAAATCTCCATCATATTTCTATAGAGGTATCTTATAAAGCTGCCAAAGCTTAAGCGATTTCGAAATAACAAACGAAAAAAAAATCTCATTTTGGTCAACATTTTACGTAATGTAAATTTTTAGAAATTTTTCTACTCTCATACCACAAGTCATCGACGTATTGTAGTTTATTGTTATCATCAAGATGAAAAAGCTCTTTTTCTACACTACATGCACACATGTGTATGCGTTCATAATATCTTTCAAGCCTTGTCAGATTGATGCCCCATTGCTCCATGCATTGAAGAAAAGACAAAAAGAAGTCGCATTTAACAATAATAACAGCAGAAATCCACAATAAAATAAAAACGTGTATGGAGTCAAATTTAGAGATAGATATTTGGACAAAAACATTAATATGTGATTGAAAAGAAGAAAATAAAAGAAATGAAAAAAAGATTTTGGTTGAAAACCTGAAATGGATTTATCTCGTATGGAGCAAGAGAAGGAATACTATTAAGCTGTTGTTAAATTTCTAATTTATGCCTTATTGCGGAGCTATTAGCATTTTTCATCAAGTAAGAAAAATAAGCAATTTTTAGTACCTCGCATCTTTTTTCGTATTTCATATTGTGCAATTCTTTTTATGATACTCCTTCCTTTATAACAGTTACGATGATGTTTTTTTAAAAGAGATATATAAGTTTGAAGGGTCAAATGAAAATTGAGTCTATCATATAAAATTGACAAATTTGTAGTGTAAGGGGCTGCAAGGGACTATGGCGATAATTTTCTTTAAAATACTATGAACTAGAGCAGTGTTTCTTCAACTATGTTCTGCGGCACACTAGTATGAATCAAAAAAATTTATGTGCCGTGGACCAAAAAAGTTTGAGAAACATAAGACTAAAGGGATTGCGATCTTAATTATTAGCAACAATGTTCCATGCCACCTTTAAAAAAAGATTAATTTTGTAAACTGCTCTAAAGAGATTCCAACCCTTCAGGCAGCAGTAAAGTGAAGCTACCAATTTAAAAACATTGAACCCAGTTGCACCATTATTGGTTCCTTTATATAATAGTTTGTGGCATGACGTAGACTGCGACCTGGGTCATCTTTTTCCTGTTACGCTATCATTTTAGAGCAACTTTAGAGTCTAATCTTAATTGTAAGGCGGAAGATCAAAAGTTTATTCCAGGGAGAAAAGACACGACAATGGATGAGACGGTCCGAAAATCGCATATTTGATTCATTTTTCTGTTTCGGGAAAATTTTTGAAATTGTACGATTTTCTTTAGTCTGTCTACGCCTGCATAGACATTATTTACAAACAATCCCGACTTAACGTCATATCATCATCAACAGCTCAATCTTGATTCGTTATTATGTCTTATGAACATGGCAGTATAACAAGCGAACTAGATACATAACTTGAACACTAGTCATACTTTCGATAATATTACAAGTGTCGCCCTTACGTTGTGGATTAAAGAAAAATATTTTTGTTTACAATATTCAAAGTGAAAATATTTTTCTTTTTTTTTCATTCATGCGCTTCCACGAGAGAAATGATAAATAATAATGTGCAACAGGTATGCTCTACATAAGTGAATGAATATTTTTGCTACGTTGTCGTCATGATTTCCTGAAGCCAACGAAAAAAAACAACGAGAAGTAAAAAATACCTTTGAGGTATAGAGAACATAACTGTTATAGTAATTCAAGCAAGCCCTTCAATATCCTACATGTTAAGAGAAACAAGATTTTTTTTTAATCAGCACAAGTTCTTAGTGAAAAGAAATGAAAGAGGTACACGAGATGCTTTCTCGTTTTAGGCTGCTTTTGAAATTCTTTCATCTTCTTTCTTTCATTTCTTTTCCTCTTCTCTCTCCTCATGGGCCTCGACTAGCTGACTTTGACTAAATGAAGAGTATTTTAATGCTATTATTATTGTATATTGTTGTTGTTATTATTATTGGACCTGTACATACTTAAAAAAAATTTCTTTTTTCAGAAATTTCTTTTCTTTACGATTTTTTTTTTTGTTGTCTGTACTCAAGAAGAAAGAGTATCAGAAGAAGGTCTGGGCTAACTGTACAGCGTTCTAAATATTTTCTCATTTTCTGCCTCATTCAGAGAACTTCTTTTGGCAGTTAATTAATTAAATGAAGGTTCCACTTACTCATATCAATTCAGCCTATTCTTTTCTTTCATTCTCGAGCTCTTTTCAGTTCCTCGACACATGATTTTCTTTCTTCTTTTTCTACATTCTCAGTTAGCTTTTTTTATGTTCTGTATTCTATTGAAATGTGTTACAGTACTTAGAAGCATCGTTAAATGAATGATTAATGATTAAGCGAGATGAATGGAAATTCTTGGAAGCTTCTTTTTGATATGGGTAATTTTTTGGAGAAATTTGTTTGAGGTTATGCTAGAGTAAGCAGTAATTAAAAGCTGTTCTGCATATTTTATTTTAGCTTTTGTTGCTATGTTTAAGGACAAAGGTCTTTATGACTTATTTAAATGTGTTTTTTGTGAATTTTTCTTGGAAATTGTCGAATTTTTTGAAAGTTTCTATGGCTTTGGTTTTAAGAAGTTTGTACAGATTTGAACAGAGAACATTGATAGTCTGGTAATCAACAGAGAGTCTAGGTACTGATAACTAGGTTGTGTATACATGGTTACGTTTACTAGGTTGTGTATACTAAGTTGTTAAACACTAGTTTATATAGAGTGACTGGTTCCTGATGCAATGAAAGACCGACACTATCTAGCAGCTTTTTTAGACATTAACCAAAGTTTATTTTCCAACACATCCAAATTTTAATCTTATTCTAAGATTGTCAATCTACTCTTTTAAAAACTCATTGAAAAAGTTGATAAGTTTATGGCATTAAATACAGGAATTCCCTACTTTTTTGGTTTTCACGACCGATAAACCAAAGTCTGATTCATCAAGTTACGAAAAATATTCTTTATCTACAGCCTGTCTTCTATATTACGTTGGAACGTGTTGTATATTGCAGATAAAATTCTAATTAATCGGGTCTTATCAGTGTTTGTTCTATAATTTTGAGTTGATTAATTGTTTTTTGTACTTGAGTGACGAAAAATAAGTTCATATTTAAGATTATGTGATTTTAAGGTTCAATTGCTACCGGATATTAAATTATTGATTATCTGAAGTATTTTGTCTTGGCAATCAAAATATTAACAGGAAATGCGTTGAAATAACTTAAGTTTCAAATATCTAATCGTCTTTAAAAAGATTCTCAAGTACCACAAAAAAAAATTGTCAAAAATCTGAACGTGGATCTTCGTAATCTTAACAGACACACTTTCCAACAAGAATTCTTTACTAACTGTAGTGACACATAATTTTGGACATGCTTATTATAAAATTCTCAATACAATACAGAGAAATAAAATGTGTTCAATGGAATCTCATAAAATTACCAGGTCACAGAAATTAAGAATCACACAATCATACTCTGTCCAAAAAAAAGAGTAACCTCAATTTGAAATCAATATAAAAAGTCATGAAAAAAATGTGAAATTTTCTGAATCGTTTCCCAAAAAAGGAATCAACCAGACACAAGAGAGAAGAATTGAGGTCCTCAAGAATAAATTCTAATTAGCAAGTTCATTAATAATGAAAAATCTTCTCTTCTACGCTCAATTAAAGTGCAGTTAATGAATTCTCATTCTTACAAAATATAATTAATGTTAAGTTTTTTCTTTTTGAAATCATTCAATGACTTGATAACGTTTTTTTTTTCTTTTCTTTTTCTCTGTTCGCAGTTATAGTAACAGCATGTTTACACATATATTATGCTTCTCTCGAATTGCTTAAAACAATATATTTTTAAAAAAAATGTGAACTCAAAAGTTTGAAGTCAAAAAAAAATCTTGTTTTAATTAAAAGCGAAAATGATTTCATAAATCACGAGATCATTCATTGTAAGTGCAAAGAAACTTGATGGAAATTTTATTATATTTTTATTTTCTAACAATCACCATCATCATCGTCAGCAGCGGCAGCAGTAGTAATAGCATTGAGAGTCGAAACGCTATCAGCATAATTCAATCACAATAGGATTTTAATAATAATAATAATAATAAGAATTCTCTCTTATTCATTTCTAACTCACCTTGTACTCTTGCAATAAGTTATTCCATTTTTTGATGATCTTTGAAATTGGAAGTGGGACATTGAGTTCTCGTTCAACAACGCTAGAAAAAGAGAATGAGATAGACAGTGTTAGATGGGTGAGGTTAAAAAAAGGGAGACAAACAAAAAATCTTAATTTTAATCGAAATGAGAATGAAGTTGGGGTTCATTCTGTAATGATGTTTAGGGTTTTGGAGGTAAAAGAGGGGCTTCTGAGACTCCTGTGGGCTCTGCATTGAAAATTGATGTCCTACATTATGAGATTTGAATAAAATTTGACTATGACTAGGGTAGGGTACCTTAGGTAGCTCTAGAAACTTGTCATTAATGTAGGTTACCTCATTTAATCCCCTTAATATTTATTTTATTTTCTTAACTACTTTAAATCAAGAATTTAGCCTAGGAGAGTTTTGGGAGATCAAATAACATCAAATCTAGGTTTCTAGACCTTAGAATCTTTGATTTTTGTAAGACACTAAAGAAAATAGGCTTAAAAATGTTGAAGTTTCTTCACAAAACTTATCAACAATGATAAAATGAGAAAAAATATAGCATCATTGCGCCATCATTTAAGAACAAACCCCCCCAAAAAAGAGATTTAAAATTATTTGCATAAATCTTGAAAGAAACTATTGCGATAAAGATGAAAAAGAAAGAAAACGAGAAGAACTGGAGAAAAGAAAGCAAATTGAAATTTCTTTACTTCTTCTCCCATTCATTCTTCTGGCTTTTTTTTAGGTTTGCCTTTAAAATTTATTTATTTTCTTCTTTTATTATTAATGCTCGGCAAAAAAGCAAGCAAGCAAGTTAGCATGGCAGCAAGAATGTATAAAGACCTATATTATAATAGGCAAATAATGGTAATCCAACTGTTACGAATAGAATGTCGTCTAAATATTTAAATTGTTGGCAATAAAAATTTATTTTTCCTTTTAAGATGTGACACTTCTATTCCATTCATGTGTGTGCATGTGCTAACAATTTAATTTCTAAGCTTTCTTTTTCATATTAAGGCACTTAAAATTCAAAGCTAAGGGATATTAAAATAAAAATGCGTGCAACTTACGCCCATGCATATTTCGATGCATTTCTTTTGCCTGTGAATAGTGGTGACAGTTCTGCACGTAGTCTGATGAGTGTTTTAACTTTGTCCGCTTCCCCTAAAAGGATATAAATAAAAAAATTAATTAAGCAACAATAAAAGTGTGAAATTATAATAAGATAAAGCAGCAATACTAAATGAAATTTCATACATGATATTATCAATCCATTTGCATCACCTAACATGGAGAAAAAATATCTTTTTTACGAGTTGTAAGTGTCTTATCTTGTCTTACAAATGAGTTCCAAAAAAAAAATACTTTTTTCAGCTCTGTCTAATTCGACTCATTATTCATATTATTATTATAAATGTATGTGCGCATAATTGTTTCAATTTTTATATTTCTTTTCTTCTTTTCGTTATGTTACGAACATTTTTGAATTAATTAAAAAAAAAGCTTGTATGCTGACCGAAAAATAAAGGTAGATTTGAAGCAGTTAGGCAACTGCTCAAGAGAAATATGAACGAAAATTAGTGAAATTTTTCTTTTATCTGTTTTCGGTGAATTGCCGTTAAAAACATGAAATATTAATGCTCTTAAAAACATATAAGTAATATCTTAATATCATACATACAAAATTACAAGTACCACAATAAAAGAAATTTCTATTAAGTTTCCCCGAGCGGCACATTTGATGGGATTTTAAATAGCGGATGAAACTGAGTTTTAGGGAGGAACATTTGGTCAACGACTGACATTTTTTGATAGTTGAACTAGTTTTTACGATTAATTGAGAACTTCAAGATATTAATTCTTCAGAATATTGATTTCTTGATCTTTTTAGCTTCGTGGGGTCTTTTATTCAACTATTGGAGGATATTTAACTAGAATTTCTTTGGTACAACTTGAAGATGGTATCATAAAGTATAGTGGAGTTAGGAGTTTGTATGTAAATCAGAAATTGCAACTGTATGTCATCTGTAGCCAATAGTTGATTGATCAGATTAGATAAATAAACGAAAATCTTTTGTGATGACGTGCGTTCGATTCCCAAACAAAGTTAAATCTCAACAATGCTAAGACAATTTAGTATAACTGTGCCAATCATAAGTACAACATTATTGTCAACGAATCATTTCTAAAGAACTTAAAATATGATTCTGGGGATCCATTGCTTTATATTTCGAATATAATCACAACAAATGAAGCATAAATCAATACAAAATGTGCTAATCAAGTGTGTGGTACTGATGAAATGATCAAAATTGAACAAAAATGATCAAAAATGATCGAAAATGATCAAAATGTAATTCTTCAGTTCCACACCCTTGGTGCTGATCGGGTTACAGTCTCTTTCTCTCCAACAGACTTCATCAAAATCTATGTAATGCTGTCTAAACTTTCATGGAAACAGCAATAAATGTATGCATAATTGCTGTGGTAATCATACATGAACGAGATTAGATGAGCAATCAAGATATAGAAAATATTATTGATTTCTTTCATTTTATTTACATGACTTAATGTGACTATGAGCAGGTACAATTAATTTTATTGTAGTACAGACCGAAAAGCTTTGGGAGGGGAGACGCTAAAAGATGACTCAAAGAATGTGAAAGAGGCAGTGAAGATTAACTTTAATTGCTGATATTGCCGAGTGATCAATTTAGAGAGAGAAATGATGAGAAATTGCTGTTGGAAGTACTGAAATGCTCGTGAAAGATATAAAATTTTATATTTTAAAAAAACGATTAGAAAAAAAATAGGTTTAATTTAATATCTTGTTCCTCCCATCGCTTCTATTTAGTGTACTTAGCGTACGAATCGCGTTATTGATCTCAGCTCATTATTTTCAGTCAATTCCTTTCTAATATGCCAAGCAATGCTTTCACAATAAAAATCAGCGTTACAGAATATAAAGATTCAATTAAATTGCCATTAACAACTCATTTAATGATATTTAATTCAGTAATTTAGACATTTTTAATTTTTTTTAAGTGAATAACGTTTAAAGGATATACTTTAATTAGACTCGAAACTGTTGCCAGCAAAGTAAGTAATAAAAATTCTAAAAAAAAGTATTTTTGCTGTGCTTTTATGAACTTCAGAAAAGCAATAAATCTGATTCAAAAATTGTTTATAGATCATCTTCATGATTGCGCATTTAGCAATAATTGCGAGATTGAATCTCTTCTGTTTAATTTAGAACATGCAGCTAAATACATAGAATTTTCTTTCATCATCAAGCGCATGAAACTTATTTTCATCATCATCATCTTCGTCTATAATTGTGCGCCAAATTATTCATGTTCTCTTTTTTTTCTCTCAAAATCGTTCTCTGCAAGACTCGAAAGAATCCCGCAAGGTGAACGCAATAAGTTATAAAATGTAGATGAATAGAACTAAAGAGACGAAGAAGGAGGAAGACGATGATGATGATGATGATGAGAATTTTTCAGAACGTGCAATCGATTGAATCAGGTTAAAATGGGAGAGAAAGAGATGAAATATAGGTTACTATAATAGCATTATATTAAGAACCTCATGCACACAATTATGTGCAACAACACAGCTGAGCAATCAATTCTATTTGAGTATTAAAAAGAATCTCTTCTTTACCGTCGTGAGCCTGGGAAAATTCATCAATCACGATGAAAATTCATTCTCGGCTTTTACTCAGCCTTCTTTCATTTTAGGAAAAACGATCACGTGCGTAGGTGATGAAGAAATTCTAAGATTTTTTTTTTATTTTCTTGCTTGCCAGACACCTGTTTTCATATTTTTCTCTTCAACTGTTTTCCTCGCTTTGCTTATATTTACTACACTTCATTCAGCAATTTCTCGGTACGATCGAGAAGTCAAATTTATAATTTAAAGTCACTTCTTTTTGAATAATGAAGTAGAAGTTTTATTTTTAATAGATTTTTCATCATTCATGTACTTTCGGATGAAGAAAAATACTTGAAAAAATCTAGTGTAAAGGTGATCAGATGTGGATGATATAAGCGCATTCTAGAATGGATAGAATAAAGTTTTCCACAAAAATTTTATCTTATGTCCCGTTAATTGACATTTTGCTGTTACTCAGATCTAATTTAGAAAACTATTAAGTTTAAATTAGCTCCTAGCTACTAGTTCCTAGTTACAGGCTACTAGCTACAAGGTACTATCTACTAGCTACTAGCTACAAGCTCCTATATACTAGCAACTTTCAACTAGCTTAAACTAAAACAGAAGTAGTGCTACCAGACAGAAAGACATACATATCACCAGACAGACAGGCATAATAGCAACATCAACGTCATTTCCTTTTGTCAAATTGCGCTTAAAATTGCGCTGATGAACATCGTAAAGAGGAGCATCAATGAGAGAAAAAAATGATGATTTTTCTTTCTGCTAACCATATACACTAAACTGAATCGTTAATATACACATGAAGATATATTTTTCTTTTGATCTAATTTTAGAATCATTTTCAGAATCATTTTAGCGTTTATATAGAACGGAAAAATAACATTTTTTTCCTCCTCATCGCATTTCAATCTCTTTTTTTCCTTTCGTCTATCGTATCTACTTCATGTATATATAGTTTTTTTACTGTAATACATCTCAATCTCATTTTTATTATACTTCTTTTATTTTTTGCGTGCTGTTCCGCATTTAATGAAAATTTATTTCTCCTAAATGATGAATTTTGCTTTGATTTTATGCTAACAGATGAAATCTATTTATTTAATCGTGTTCTTCTTCCCAATACCCGAATATAAAAGAAAAATTGATCTCTTTTCCCTCTCTAACTCGCTCATTCATCAATATAAATTTTTTATAGCTGTATTTAGATTTAGATCTGCACAAGGCATCATTCTTTTCTATACTTTATAGTCTCTATGTTTTTTTTTGTTCAATCAACTATTTCCGATATGTTCAGGTATAGGGAAGGAGTTAGGGTCTACTAGCTTTCTATGGTTCGAGTCTTAACACTTAAAAATTCGAAATATTCTAGCTTTAAGGTTTTTTAATCAGCAATAAATTTATTAAATTACAAAAAATGCTTAGTGCCCTCCAAAAAGCTACTAGCTACACTTCTGGATAAATACATTGTTAAACCTCAATGAAATACAAATAAAACAGCATAGAAGCAATACGGAAAGAAAGAAAAAAAGGCACAATTTCTTCATGTAGAATTAAAAAGAGCAGAAAATTTCTCGGCATTTTGCATATCTTTTCATTTCATTTTTAATTGTACTATTTTTCAAAAAAAAAGAGTAGAAATAACAAATAGAAGGAAAGAAAAAATCTAGCTAAAAGGCATTGTCTGTGTGCATCGTTAGCATTTTTTTATGCTGTACAAAAGAACAGTTTATCGATTATTTAAATGCTCTGATCTCAACTCTCCTCTATTCAATTTCTATATAATTTAAGCATGCAGCTTCCATTATTCATCTTCTAAGCTTGCAGTTTTGTATAGAAGGAAAAACTTGTCGATATTTGAAAATTTATTGCATTTGAAATAGAGAAAAGCTTTATCCAGAAATAGAAAAATAGAAGGAAAAAAAATTATGAGAGCATTCTATTTCGATAGCCTACAAGACTTTTGCAATGTGTGCATACAATGTATGGGGAGCAATTTGAAAATTCTTCTTTAATAGTCATAGGTGCGGTTCTTTTTTGCTCCAATTGAAGTTATTTTAAGTGCAAGGAATCCATTTGAATGCTGAAGATTTAATTTTTTATTGATCACATTTGATTGAGACTTCTTTTGTTTGTTTTGAATAATTTGGATATTTTGAATAATCATTGATTTGGTTGAATTTTCCGTAAAATATTTAAAATTATTGAGATTTTGAATTTTTAAAAATTTGTGTTTTAAATTCATTTAACCTTCTGTAAACTATTCATTTTGTTTTTGATAATTATTAAAATTTTAAAACTCAAAAATATTCAAATTCAGAATTTTTAAAAATCTTTTATATGAGAATAAGAAAATCTTTTATATCAGAATAAGAATAACCTTAATTTTAAATTTTTCGTTACATTTCTAACCTAGTTTTTTTAAGTTCAAAGATTTTAAAAAATTTCAAAAATCATTTTTTAAAGAATAAACTATAAACTTTGAATTTTTTGTTTTAAAACTTTAAAATTTGAATATTCTCTTAATTCATTTTTAAGGAAAATTTAAATTTTCCGTTTCTTTTTTAAACTCAAAATTTAAATATTACAAAAGTTATATTTTTAAAAGCTATTCAAATTTCATTGAATTTCAATTCAATTACAAAAGAAAAACATTAAATATTCTTTTAAAAAATTGATTTTTATAATTTCCGTTAAGAGAATTTCCATTCACAGTAAACAAAAAACTTTTTACGATATCTTCCGTTAATTAGAATTTCCATACAAACTGTTTAATAATCAAGAGATTATTTAGAGTGAAAAGTTCTTGAGAATAATTTGAATCATTCACATTAATTATTCATAATAAAAAAAATTCAGTGAATAAAAAAAGCTTTTATGGAACTTTCCAAAAATGAAAAAAAAAATAATTAAAATTACAATAAATCAGAATTATAATATACACATGAAAAAAAAAGCTATAAAGAAAGAAAATTTCTTCTTTATATAATCAAAACGGTGATTATCATTTCGATTCAGCAAGCATAAAAAATTCATAACTTGCGAAATAATAAGCTTTCCTTTAGATCTCCATTTAAAGCAGATAACAATCGAAAGTGAAATTTTTTTTCTATTTTCTTTTTCTTTCTATACTCAAGTCCAATTAGATAGTAAACAACAACACACATTCCAATGTGAAATTCTGCTGCTTCCAACTATCAAACACTTGTTGCTTGTGCTTTCTTTTCTTCATACATATTTTTTTTTCTCCCATATCATCATGTTTTCTCTTACTAAACACATTCTTCGTGCATGCATGTGTGTGAATTTATTTATCCATTATTGTTGTTTTTATTGCGCATATAGTGTTAGTATATTCATATTTAGATAGGTGCCCATAATAATACAAGATTTAGAAATTTTCTATCTTTTTTATTTCTTCTCATTTCTCTTTCCATGGCCTATAAGAGTGGGGAGGCTTACTAAAAATCATCAGAAGAATTTTCTCATCCCCTCCCTCCGCCAAAAAAATTATAAAAATCGAAATGAATATTATGAAATGAGTGTCTTTGACTTTACAGCAAGCTAAAAAACTTTCCCTCAGAATTTTCACCTGTACATCTCCCCCCACTACTCCCGTGTGTATATAATTTTTTTTTATTTCACACACATTTTCAGCGCGTATTCTTCAGAGTTTACTGATAAAGAAGACCTTTTTTTTTTCGTGTATGAGAAAGAAAAAAAAACTCAAAAACCCGTTGATTCAGCTAACACAACAGAAAAGCGAGTAAGCAAGCAAGTAAGCAGAATATATAACATAAGCATGCTAGAAAGCAAAATTGGTTTTGATGTGAAGATAGTAATAATAATAGCAGCAATAAGAAGACGACAAACATTTTCACTTTGCATTCTTTCACAACTCTCTTCATTATGCTTTCTTCTTATTCATCGCCATCACACAATTTGTGCTAATTAGAAGTTTCTTTTTTTTTTTTGACGAAATATAAAAGAATTGAAGAGCCATGCTAATGGTAATGTGATGGTAACAATAGGCTTGTTTCTTGCTTGGTGCTATGTGTGGTTGTTGTTTGGATTTAGTTGGTGGAGAAAGAAAGAGAAACTTTCACCAGAAAAATAAGAAGAGAAAAAAAATTATTTATAATATTAAAAAAAATTTATATTTATAGTCTATAAATGCCTTAATTTTTTGTGTTAATGATGATACAAATTTCTTCTGTATCTATGCTGAGATTTAATCATCATCTCATTATTATTATTATTTTCCCTTCTGTTGCTGTCATATCTATAGTAACTCTACTTTTATTATGGTTTTCTATTTTTTTGATAAACAGCAACGAAACTTGAGTGTAAAGTATTCTTAATTATTAGATAAGATAGCGCATTTTTACTTTCAGTTTAGGTATGGAGGCATATACAACTATGGGAGGGGAGAATTTTTGATAGAAATCTTAACAAGATCATAAGCAAGTAAGATTCAACAAAAAAAAATTAAAAAATAATTCTGGTTACTTCCTTGAAGCCTACCATATGGATGACAGAACTGAGTCTTATAAAAATTCAAATCTTTTCCGTTATTTTTAACAATCTCTTTTTATGAATCATGACGAATGCAAAAGATGGTTTCGATGATGCAATGAGCTAGAAACCCGATTGAAAATAGAATCTTTTGTACCATATGCTATTGTTTGCTTACATTGTAGCTTCTAACCCCATCCCAATTTTAAATAATTATCAAGTATTTGCCACCCCAGTTATTACCACCATCACTATTGCGTAAATAAAAAAATACTTTTTCCATGATTCTGTATAAGATGATGGAATGAGAAAAAAATGTGTGTCATACTGAAGTTGTTAATTTGAAGGAACGTGATTAATCTAGGACAACGAAAGTGAAATCGTCAACAGCTTTTTAATAGTTCTTGTTATTAGCGGATTTAGGGAATGTCGTTGTCTTAAAATGGACGAATTTACACAGCACAATGGAGGGCTAAACATCATGACCTATTTTCATATATTTACTTTTTCTCTTGTGTTTCAATTCTAGTTTTCTAATCCAAGTATGGAGAACAGATTTCTCCAAAAAAAAAAACCAAAATGTTAAAATATGTGTGCGCATTGAGGTGCTCATTTTGATGTGCCAAATTTAAACTATCTCAAAATAAGATTATAGAGTTAGAAAGTGAAATCATTGAGTCATCTTATGTTCTGCTATGGAAACATAAATCCGGGTTAAGAAGAAGCCCCTCTGCAGCAGCATTTTTTTCACTCGCATCCATATGGTTGTAAAAAGAAGAAAAAAAATGTTGTTATCGGAAAGGTCAATTACGGTAGCATATGGACAAAAACAGTAAAAGTGCCGATAGCAACAGTTTTTCATATCTCGAGATATAATTATGTGAAAAATAATATAATTTGGATGTTTTTTAAGGCTTAGATAAATTTTAATCTTCTCATAATATAAATCTATTCAAAATGGTAGATAATGATGAAAAGAGCGACATAAGGAATGAAATAATTCGTTTCCATCAGTTACAAACAGTAACAGATAGATAGATAGATAGATGGATAGATGGTATGGATGGATGGATGATAGAGAAAAAGAAATATATGTGTTGTATATACAGTTAGAGATTTCTCAATATAGTAACGACCTTCGAAAGGATCAATGCGCAGTAAACAAATTTTTGAGCTATTATCAAGAAGGTTTCTGCTCCTCACGTCTTCTTTTTCTTCTTATTTATTTAACTTCTGTTATATTCAAGATTTTCTAAATTTAATTTCCGTGTGGGATTCATTCCTAGTGTTCTTATTACACACAGATTGGCAACAACAAGACATGAGAAGATAAAGAGAGTGAGTGAGGAGGACGAAATACGAAAAGAAGCTAAAATTTTCATTTTCCATGCATGTATATAGACACTACAGTGTACTTTATGTGTATATATATCCATCCATATCTATAGATACATACATTTTACGGAAAGAATCGATTGCGCACAAGAAGAGAAATTTCTTCTCCCTTTCTCAAGTTCTTTCTCGTCATCGGTCGTCTATGAAGAGGATGATGAAGAAGAAGATGAAAATACACAAAATTCGAGGGAAACAATACAAAGTGTTTGTGTAAATTTGTAACTACATCTAATTGATTTTCTAAGCATATGAATTTTTATTCGCTCATTTTAATTAACTTTTTGCACCGCAATTTTCATTCTCAAGCCGAGAAATTTCTCTTTTTGATTTCTAGAGCATCGTTAGACTTGCAGGAAAGTCGTTAAACTAGAATTTTCCAACTACCATACCGAAGACATTTTCTAGATTATCCAAAATCAAAAAATCAATAATTAGTACAATTTTGAGTTCATTACCCAGTATAGATAACGTCATTTGAATTTATATTGAGAATTTTTGCACAGATTTTCATGAAATATCAACAATCTGTTAGCGATTTTTTTTTCTTCTTTTCTTTTTTTCTCATTCCTTTTTTTCTGTTCTACGGTGATACAATAATAATATTTTCAATTTTTTTTCCTTCGAACGAGAAGTAACGTCGTTCTGCTGTGCAACGTTACGGGTAATTTCAGAATTATAAATATGAATAATTTTATTTTTTGTGTATGAATTCCGCGATAAGAAATACAGGCTGATAAGAATTTTTAAAACTTTAAAATGCAAGTTCGTCATGAAAAATTAAAAATAAAATAAAAAAACTACTTACAGCAATATCGAATCGACTGATTCGGCTGAGCCATGGCAAAGCTTTTCTTGATTAAATCCAATTTGGTAGGTTTAGTTTTCACCGTGGGGCACGAAATTTTAACGATTAAATAAAAAATATGTTTGTAAAAATTTTCTTCTTTTCTTCTTTCTTTTGCACTAGAATTAATTTTTCTTTTTTGCACTTAATTTTTTTTTTCTTATATTTTTTTCTATATTTTATATTTTAAAATAATTTTTCTTATTTTATTTGCTTTACTTATTTTTTTATACTTCTTTTTTTTTGATATATTTATATCTCAGGCAATTTTTCTTCCTTCACTGAGAACTGTTCACGAAAATCTTTTCTTCTGTTTTTTTGTTGCTTTCTTTGAAGCAGCGAAGGCAATGTGTAGTTGAGAAAATTCTGTTCAGAAATTTAATTTCAGCTTTTCTCATGAGAAAGAAAATAGTAGTCGTCTCTTCTATTCTAAAAAATCTGTTTTTCTTTCCTTGAAGAAAATTTTCTTGTGCTCCCGTAAACATCCGAAAACACCCGACACCGAGAATGTGTATACACAAAATAATTTTTTTTTTGATTTTCTCTCGTCTCGAAAATAATCTTTTTTTTTCTTTTCTTTTAACTCGTAGAATAAGGAAAAAAATTTCTTGATTTTATTCCTTAAAATTAAATTAAACTTTTTTATGCACCGAAAAATAATTATTTTATATTTTTTTCTTGTTGTCCAGTTCGGAGACGCATCCAATACGAGTTTTAATCCACGGAGACGATGTTGATGAATGAACGATCGTGATATTGTAGCGCGATCGATCAGCAACAGAAACTGATCAACAAAACAGAAAATATAAAAATATGAGAAAAAAAAACTTTTCTTCTTTACTTCTTCTTTTATTTTTTTTTGTGAAAAAAAGGCAAAAAGTAACAGAAGAAGAAATAAAAAAAATTTCTAATTCCACTACAGTCAGCCAGCTCACAGAGTAGTGTAGTATATACAATTTTTCATATTCCTTCTGATAGTCCACAACAAAAAAAAAATCTTCGTAAGTGTATTTGAACAGAAAAAAATGAAAAACAGAGAATAAAGTCGAGAGAGTCGAGAGAAATGAGAGTGAAAGAAGTCAAGCAGATTGTAAGTGAATGAGCGTGAATCATAAAATAAAATCTATTCAGTTATACATGCACATGCCGAGAGAACAAACTTTTCTCCCGAAAAAAAAAATTAAGCATTAAGAAGGTATAGAAATAAAAAAAAGTTTTACTTAGTATGAAGACCGACTGATTCAATACAGTCACCCACCAAAATAACTGATTAATTTTTTTACATTGCCTATCTCAATAATAAGTTTCTTAGACATTGTCATGTACAATTTACAGGAGTAGAAAAAAATAGCATTGACTCTTATCAGCATTTATTTTTTTATTAATTTATTTTTTGTTATTTATGGCTTGATTTGCCGAGAACATTTTCGAGTTGAATTTTCTTTCATATCTACAATGGCACCTGTATTATCAAACACGACGCTGAGTTCTGAGCCTGACGTAAAGTACACGTGCATTCAAAAGGTTTTTTGATAAAAATATATAAAAAATTTTATCGGACGAGCCAATGAAACTTTGTTCTAGTCTTGATAAAGACATTGCTATTGACATTCGTATCAGTTTATGAATGTATGATTAGAGCTGATCAGAATTTTATTTTTAATTTGCTAGATTGATAACCGAAAATTTATTTAGAATTCTTAAGAATTTGATGCTAAAGTCAAGGACCTGAGATGTTTATAACTCATATACATTTAGAATTTGATTGTTATTGGCTTTGATCAGTTTAATGACTGTAGCTCTTAGATCTAATTTAGGTTTGACTTTATCTGACTTTATGATTGATTCTAAAAAAGGACTTAACTTGGATTTTCCAGGATTTTAAAAGGAAAAATCATTAAAATTGTTTAACATGTTACAAATTTTCAAAATTCTCCTAAAAGTCGTTACGTAATAATTGAACAGTTCCAAACCAAGAAGAAGATTTTCTCTAAAAAATTGCAGCTGTTTTTTAGTTTAAAAATACCTAAATCAAATTTTGACCATTTTTTGATCAATTTTTTTCGCAATTTTTCAAACCAAAGCTACAAATACCTTGATAACTCTGCTTTTTGCTTCAAAAAATTGATGAATCTGGTAAGATTCTGACTTTCTTTAGCTATTTAATAATAATTATTGATATCAAAAAAGGATGTTTCAAATTCAAGCCTCGAACTTAAGTTTGAATTCAAAATAACTTAGCTTCAAGTCTCGCTTGTTCAAAAAAAAAACATTTTTATTATTTGGATCTAATTTAGTTTCTTAAAGATTTGAATCAAACTTGTTATAATAAGATTCAGCAGATATATTTAAAATTTATCTAAGATTTAGATTTTTAAAGCTTTTGCAGACAAAAGTTCATTTGATGCAAGAATCAAGAATGTTTCAAAAATCCCGCTCAATCTTAAAAAATTTCCAAGAAAACACCAAAACAATTAAAACAATACGTCATTATCTGTGTCCTCGAACTTATTATACACGAGCTATTATAAAAAATAATATTTCATTCTTAAAAATATGATATCAAGTAAATGATAAATGAAGAACAGACAAAATAAATAGAAACGTCACTAAGAAGATGTATCAAGTATATTCAGCATCAGACAAATAAAATTGATTCTCAATCTTGGTAATTTGATGTTTTTATTCTATTTTCGGCTATATTGTTATCAATCAAAAAATATTAGAGTAGATCAGTAATCTCACTCAGCAATGTTATTTCCCTAGGGTGAAAAAAATATGTGGCACGTTGGGAAATGAGTTGAGGTAGAGCAACACTTGAGCATACAAACATTCGATAAAAAAACACAATTTTTATTTTTAATAGAGTCGAAATACTCTACACGTGTAGAGTAAAAAAATTGATAAGTTCAATTTAACACGCGCAGGTTCGATATTTCTCAAAAGCTAAAATATTTTATTTCTTGACTTAAATCTAATTTTATCTTATCAGTTTAGATTAATAGAATTTTCAATGAGAACAGCAACGAAGTTGTGTGATCGCATTGTGGTAAATGAGTGATTAACAATGGACGAAGTTTTGGATTTTAGAAAAAAAAAAAAAAAAAAATGGGAACTAACTTATCATATCTTTAGCTACGTCAGAGCTCGTGCCACCTTTTAATGAGATTAAATCACCTTAAAAATATTGAACAGGTGAGGTGTTTAAAAGTACTAATAAATCTTCAGATGACTAGTAATAATAATTTGTGATGATTACAGTTTTCAATGAGAAGCAAATTTTTGTGCGCCTTTTTGTCATGGCCTTCAACCAATTGTGTTCATCGAAAGCAATACGTCATAGAAATATTGATAGCTATAGCTAAGTTTAATATTGGCAAGATGCTTAATTTTCATCTTTATCATCTATTATACTTCTACAAAGATAGCAGGTTGCTAGTTTATAATCTGATTCAGTCCCTACTCTAAGGATCCTACTAACCAGACCGTTAAAAATAAACTTTCAAGCTAGTAAAAGTTATTATCAAATTTTAATTAAAATAGACTATTTTACCAAGTTTTTAAGTAAAAAAAAACTAATTTTTAAAAAAACACACAATTTATATTCTATTCATCCCAATGCCTCCTTTGCTAGGTATACAAGGATATACTAGCATCTGGATGACTTCCTTACGGCATCTTGCGAACACGAATTGTGACTAGATACATTGCAGGGTACATCAGGTCTTATGACGTACTAGTGTCTTTGTAATGTGCAAAGCTTGCAAGTGGTTCGGATCCCACTATAAACTGTAGGTCTAAAGGGTGTGGTACAATAGATTCTGTTCTAATTTGAATCGCAGTGCCTCCAGCTGAAAGGCTGGGCCCTTCACACATTATTATTATTATTATTATTATTCTATTCATCCCAAAGATTCCCAAAACTCCGACAGTATAAAAAAACACTGATTGTATGATTTTTAAACAAGTCTAGATAATATGACGAAATACGAAAAGCATTCAAGGTACCCTCGATATGATTTTACGAAACAAAAAGTCAGACCTTATTTCAAAAATCATCATCACAAGCCGAAATCACGTTATCAGTCATCCGCTCTTGACAATCAACATGCGCCGGAAGAAAAGATCTAAAATCGGTTTGCTAAGACTGAAAGAACTTCAAAATTTTGTTTTACATTTGTTGCGCGTGGAGCGAATTAAAGAGTTACTATTGAGAACTGATATGAGGCTAAGGAGATTACTATATATAAAAAAAATTTAAGCAACAGGTAAAATAAAACACACTCGAAATGAGGCACGTTGCAAATTTAGTTGAGGTAGAACAATATCTGTTTGAACAACCGAAAAAAAATGTATATACAGTAGCGGCCAAAAGTATCCGGACAAACACAAAAATGTCTATAACTTTTGACTGGATGGTCCAATTTAATTCAAATTTTCACTGGAATACGTAAAATCGAATGACAATTAATAAAAATATTACTTTAATAACAAATCTTTAAAACCAAAAATTTTATTTTAAAAAAACTAAAAATTGAATGGACAAAAGTATCCGGACAAAATTAAAAGTTTAAGAAAAAAATACTCTTTACTAAGTGAATGGCTTATAATGGATAGAATTTTGAGTTCTTCTGTTTAGTACTTTGTTGGGAAGCCCTTAGCATCAATTACTGCTTGACATCGTTGCGGCATTGAGTCCACCAGCTTAATCAAAACATCTATTGAGATCTTTTCCCAAGCATCCTTAATTATGGTGAACATAGCATTCTGATTTGTAGGTTTTCGACCTGAAATTTGTCTCTCTACATGTTCCCAAAGATGCTCAATCGGATTAAGATCCGGACTTTGAGATGGCCATTCCAAAACTCGGATCTTCTTGGTTTTAAAAAATTCCTTAACGACCTTCGATGTGTGTTTGGGATCGTTATCCTGCTGGAAAATCCAACCTCGAGGCATAACACGTTTGGCATGGGGAAGCATTACTCTGTTGATGATATCTTTATACATTTCCTTGTCCATAATACCAGTAACTCGATGAATCGGACCAACTCCATCACGACTAAAGCATCCCCACACCATAACGTTACCTCCACCATGCTTAACTGTCGGTAACTGATACTTAGGATCGTTTCTATGACCCTTTGGTCGTCTCACAAACTTTATTCCATCAGATCCAAACAACATAAACTTTGATTCATCACTCCAAAGAACTTTTGACCATTGCTCGCGAGTCCAATTAAGATGTTCCTTGGCAAATTTTATTCGGGCATTTCGATTCTTCACAGAAACAAACGGCTTTTTGACGGGACGTCGTCCAAACAATTCTGCATCATTCAATCGACGTTTAGTTGTTCTTGTACTCACTTGAACATTGTAATATTCTTTCATTTCTGCATTCAATGTTACAGCACTCTTACGCGGATCAGCTTTCGATGCATTAATTAAAGCCTTATCTTGTCTTGCAGTTGTCTTTCTGGGTCTTCCTGATTTCGGTAACACGTTATGATTATTTCTTTCTCTAAATCGTCGAACAACATCAGCTATTGTGGACTTTCCAGTACTAAATTGACGTGCAATGTCTCTGTAATTTCGTCCTTGATCTACAGCACTAATAATTGCTTTTTTAACTGGCGAACTTAAATATTTTTGAGTTGACATGATGAATATAAACAAAAAGCACAAAATACTTAACAAAAAAGCATTCGTTCAGTGGGAGAGAAGCTTTTTAAACAAATTTCCTTTAAACTTTTAATTTTGTCCGGATACTTTTGTCCATTCAATTTTTAGTTTTTTTAAAATAAAATTTTTGGTTTTAAACATTTGTTATTAAAGTAATATTTTTATTAATTGTCATTTGATTTTACGTATTCCAGTGAAAATTTGAGTTAAATTGGACCATCCGGTCAAAAGTTATAGACATTTTTGTGTTTGTCCGGATACTTTTGGCCGCTACTGTATACTGATAAAGTAAACACACTTCCACGTGTAGCACCTTGATAAGAAAAATATAAAACTTTTTTATTTCATAAAGAGCTGTTCTAGAATATGATATAAAGGTTTTGACTCTTTTTCTTGAACAATCGGATCATTTATTAGAGTAGATCAGTTACTTTCCAAGACCAAGACGAAAATGCGCGAAAAATCACGTATTAAGCCTTCTTTTTAAAAGAGTGTTGATATCAAATGTGTAAAACAACAGTTCGATACATTGAACTTTGAAATGGCTCAAAACACGAGTAGAAAGAATGACAACAAAAAAGTAATATTCTGAGAACTTTGATAAGATCGGGTTACCTTGAGTGCTCCTATCGCTTAGAAATAATTAAAGTAGTGAGTGAGATAATAAATGAAGCACAAGAAGAAGAATAATAACACGAGCTATCAAAGGAGGCACGTTGCAAAATAAGTTGAGGTAGAGCGACACTTGTATGTATACAGATGATCACATACATTATTTTTTATAATAATGATAAGAAATTCTTGAAATCACAAAAATTTATCGCGCATTTTAAGAGGAATAGCGAATTTGATTGAGCAACCTTTCCACTGGATTTAGTTTTTGGCTAATAATTTGCTTCTACATCTTTGGAGTGGAGTTGATCTTTGGATATTGGTATGGATAATTCCTGTTTTCAAATTTTGTCAAAATTATCTTATTTATTCATGTGTTGTTGGAAATCTCAATTTTTGTCAAAAATTTGATGATTGCTCAATCCTTAAAGGTTTAAAGCTACCAACAACATGATCTACAATGAATCATTTTAAGAATCACTGCTTTAAGATCTCTTTTTGATTTCTTAACTATGTAGATTAAATCAAAAGCTTTCTAGCTATTTGTACTATTGACTTCTAAAGGGTTTTAGTTCCTTTTTGACCAAACTGAATTGAGAATCAATCAATGCAAGCATCATAGCAGCAATAAAATAATAAATTTTTTGATATCTCCATAATATTGGAAATTCGCTTCAAATAAATTAAAATTAAATTTCTAATTGATTACAACTGTCACTATTAAATTAAAAACAGACATAATGTCATAATTTATTCCCAACCATTTTGTTCAAATAATTTTCAGATATGGAAACCATTATGATGTTCTACAGATACAAACTATGACGTGAACTCTGTGTTTTTTTTTTAATACAAACATTCTGGGACGCAGTTTTATTTTTATTCCGAAAAGAGAACACTAGGCTCGTGTATTTTTTTAATGGAATGTACACCTCGTGTAGTTTTGTTGGATGAATATGTTCTTCGAGAAGACCTTGATAAGACATTTTTGTTTCTAGAAGTTTAAGCTTTTGTAAGAATTAATTTTAAAGTGTTGCATAAACAAAAATTAATGTTTAAATTTGGTTTGTTTTGATAACCTTGAGTTGGTGATGAGATTTTAATTATAATCTTGTGGATGAGCCATATGAAGAATAAATCTGTTCTATAATGTACATTTTTAAAAGCTTGGTCAATTGAGTTTTTATTTTAAAACTCCTAAGATTACATTTTAAGAAACATAAGTTATGCAGATTCTTATTGCAAACTAGTTAAGATAAACAAATATTCTAATTGATATTACTCTTAAAACCTAGCTGGTGATTTGCTTGGATCAATGTGATCTTGATGTGGTCAAAACACTCTCTTAAGATTTGAGGACAAGTTCTATGATTGGATTTTTTGATGATCGTCATTAAAATGATTCAGAAACAATGCTTTTACAAAAAATGTCAATTTTGCAACTACTTCGTCACTAATTGTCACTTTAAGTAGCTCGTTAAAATAAGTTAAGTATTAACAATAATTCTAGATGTATTATAAGTGCCATGAATATGGCAAGCAATAGCATTTAATATGAATTTCTCACTACGAAAAATATAAAGATAAGGTTTTGTTAAGAATCGAGACTTCGAAACTTTGTGTACGTGAGCTTTGTCATAGTCTACGTTTTTATCCTAACAGAACCTATTTAATAATGATTTATTACATGAAAACTATAATTGAATTGGAAATTTAAATTTAACTTGTTGAAAAATTAGACATTTGGTGACTTAAGTGAAAAAAAAAGAACTTTTATTAATAAGTCTACTCTTCCAAAGGTCTACGTGCAACAAAACAGAAACATATCCAAGAGCAAAACTTGATTTTTCTAGTTCGTTATAAAATTTATTTGAATTCTAGATAATTTATCTGCATTAAAATAAGAGCCCTCAAAGATGGGACCTGAGGATGAATTATATTCCTTTTTAAAGAATTAGCCTATGCTAATTTTGAAGCAAAATGACCCAAACATTCAAAAATGACTTGAAACTTGCCATCATGTCTCCTCATCTTTTCGTATACTCACAAATCCTAAAATTTATAAATTCATCTTAAAGCCACACGAAAAAAATCCAACAAGTCTGTGATTTCTCTTCAAAACTTAATGGCATCTGCCTGTATACCGTAGTAGTAAAAGCAAAAGAAAGAGGAACTAC